ATTTTTAGGTTGTAGTGATGTAAAGCACAGACAAGTTTTATTTTTTTCTATCAATACAATGCCAAAGAGAGCCCTTCATGCCAGTTGATGTAATCAAAAACAAATTTCTAAACTAAAAACATTGAGTCAGTTCTATACCTTCTTTATGAGAAATTCCTTTTTATATTTTATATAAGCCTCTTTTTTATTAACACCAGAAAGTTTCATAACCTGAGCACTGCTCCAACATGCAATAGCCAAAACCACATTGCTGTGACAATTTCCTATGTTCCTTTATCTCTCCATCTTGATTTCTTATTCCTATCCATCCTCAGGCCACCTTTTACTCCCTCCCGACAAAAATTACTGCAGTAATGTATGCGTCACTCAGCCAATGTCTCCTTGATATTTTCAATCAATTCAGCCCACATCCCTGTTCATGGAGCATTACTGACCCTACTTCTGACCCTGTTGGAAGGAAGCTGGGGGAGGGCTTGTGGGCCAGTCTTTATAAAATCTACAGTAGTGTAGGTCTTCACAGTCACTCAGCATTGACCCATCCTGACCAGCTACCAGTCCTGGAAGCTCATTTTATGGTAAGTGCCCTGTACAGAAAAACATTTTCAACCTTTCATAGCATATTTCACAGTCTCTTTCCCACATTAGGTATGTTTAGATACACAAATACTACTTACCATTGTGTTACAACTGCCCACAGTATGCAGTGCAGTAATACGGTGTACAGGTTTGTAGCTAGCACCAAACAGGCTACACAATGTAGCCTAGGTGTGTGGTAGGCTGTAATGCCTGTTTGTGTATGTGTATTCTATGATGTTCACACAGAACAAAACTGCCTAACTACGCATTTCTCAGAACGTATCCCCACTGTTCAGTGCATATGACTATATTTTCAACACCCTTTCCTTTTACTTCCAAGGGTCTATATTACTGCTTTTAACAAACAAAAAAAAAGACTACAATAATTTTTGTTTGTTTTAGCAAATCCAGAAAGTGTTTACTTTTATTGTACTTATTTATTGGCACTGAGATATATACTATCTCAATCAATTAATCATTTAAATTCCAAGTTTTCCACAATATGACATGGATCACAGTCTGACTTTCCAGCACCTCCCTCCATTCCAGCCACACAAATGAGTCTCGACATCCTTGAAACTTAATGTACACGTTAAAAAACCCTGTGCTTTTCTTCAAGCCACTCACTTTGCAAAAAAAAGGGGATTTTTATCCTCTCTTTCAGCCCACATTCTTTCACTTACTGAAAAGAGTTGACATGTTACATCCTTCTACCAATTTTCCCTGAGCAGAATTAATCCCTGTCTTTACTATTCTTTCACAAAATATTATTCAAAACTACCTGAAGACACTTTCTTTGGGCTTATAATTGTGTAGAATCCTCTTTACACACAAGACTCTTAGGATGGAAGAACACTTGGCACAAAGAGAATAAAATAGACATTTGTTAAACTGAATTCTGGACACCGATTAAAATAAAGTATATTTTCAAAGTTGGCACAAATAAGTTTTCCAGTAAGCATTTCACGAAATAAATTTATTTTCCTTTTCTGTTTGCTAGCCTAAAGAGTCGACTATTTATCTTTGCTAACTGAAGGTGCTCACCTCCTATTCAAATAACCGTTAAGGGTTTTGTTCCCAGGTACATAGTGAATACCTACTCCTGTAACTATCAGCATGACACTACTGGTGAAATGGCTATTTTTAATTTAAAAACATGAAATCATTATTAACTCACTTCTGTTTTATATAGTACATTATATAATTTCAAAAACATGTTAGTTCAATTCTTTCTCAAATGAAAATTTCATCAGTTAAAAATTTGTAGCAAATATTTTATTCAGAGACATACAGATATACTTTATCATGTATGTATACAGATATACTTATATCATGATTTGTCAGTCATGAAATTGACAAATAAATATATCATACAGTTGTCTTTTCTAACCATGAAATATTTGTAAAAACAAATGAATTAGTGTCTTTGAAAAAAGGGCAACTTTAGTTAGAATGGCCATTCAAATTAGCATGGCTCAATAAGCCTGAGAACCTGAAAAATATGCAATTTTAAATAGATATAATTACAACTTTAATATACATAAATAAATGTTGGTTTAAATGTTATAAACTTTTCAACAGTCTCCATACATTTTAATTTTTTATCTGTATTTTATTTTTTCAGTATTAAGACATTTTAATTTTAATTGTTCAAGTATAGTTTTCTGCCTTTTACCCTCACCCATCCTAGCCCACCTCCCAGCCCTCCCCACCTCCCTCCCATTTCTACCCCCCTTGTTATTGTCCATGTGTAGATTTTAATTTTTTAACCAGTATCAATGTCTAGATGATTTCCATATTTGTATTTGGCAGCTTCTTTTTCAGTTCTTCATCATTACTGACTACTTACATCATTGTTTTAACCTATAAATAGCATTAACTAAAACTCCATTAATGTCAGTAATCTATCCTCTTCATTAAAAGAAAAAAATAGGTTGTATATATATTTTTTAAACTTATGTGATATATTTTAAAGTATGTTCATGTGTGCCCATTTTCAAGTATCCCTACTGCTGACACCAGCCATTTATACATTATTATTTTGGGGACAATCTAAAAGTAATACAGCTTGATCCAACATCAATATTCTGAGGTAATTGAGTATTTGGTTTACTTTTCAACATCTAAATCTATGTGTTATTTTTCCTTCTATAGTCTACATATTGGCCTTTATCTTTATGTGCTGGAATCTTAGACAAAATAAAAAGCACCCAGCTGTGAAATGACCACCCATGAGCGTTAAGATTAGGATACGTTTGGCTTAGAATTTTCACTGTACTACTTCCTGGCACTGTGGCCTTGTAAAAGTTATTTAATGTATCTGAGTCTTTATTTCCACATCTTTCAATAGGGGAAAAAAACTGTACTTGATTTGTATGACTGATGTGACTAATGTGCTTTGAACAAAACATTGCATATGGTGAATGCTCAATAAATTTTAACCATCTTTTTCCTTTTCCTCTTTATTCAATCATATTTCTTTTCTACTCTATTCTCCCTCCCCTCTTCTTTCTCTCTTGTGAATCCTTGGCCGGTGTTCAAAATGCACATCTCAGTCTAGCAGTTTATTTATCGAGGGGAGAAAAGTAACCTATATCAATTACATAAATATCACACATAAGTAATTGGCCTTTCATGAAGTTTCCAATGTTCCTCTGTCAGCCATGATACAGACATAGGCTTCAGAGTCAGAAATAGCTCATTTTGAACTATAGGCCATTGCTCACTGTAGGGTCATTGTGAAAATAAAAATGTAAAATTCTTAGTTGAGTGTCTGGCAAATATAAAACTATGAAGAAAGACTCACTTTTTTGGACAGTTCTGCCCTTTCTCTCTGTAACTAATAAACTAGAAGTAGTAAAAATTCCCCATTTTGTAATAGCTATGATGAAGTCATCACAAGAATGACAGCAGTGACTCTGTAAGTCCTTGTGTGTCCTGGGCACCAGTTTGCCCAGAAATGCAGCCTGATGGAGCCAACCCCAATCAGAGCAGGGGTATATTCCTGTTCCTCCTATGATTCTTTGGTGTGACTATAGGAAAACAAGATAATAGTACCTCTGATATTTTTGTCTCTTCTTTTCAGAAAATAAAAAAGTACAGCTTATAATTTATTTGTAAATTCTTATAAGTTGCTCTGTATAGCACTTATATAGAGATGTGTATTATCTCTGCATTTTCTCTAAGAAGTTTCACTTCCTGCTTGATAACTGTGATAAATGTGACATACTTGATACAAGCAACAAATATTGATGTTTATTTTAATGTAAAGGAGACAATGAAGTAAAGCATAATCTTAATTTGAGAGATATTTCTCATAAATGATTTAATTGTTTTCTTATATGAAAAGGAAATTTTCATCTAAAAACAAAACCAGTCTATGAAGCAAACAAACAAAATAAATCAGCCTATTAAACAAAAACAGGAAGATTGAACTCTTTATAGAAATTTTTAAATGAAAGTGCATGCTTAATGAATAATTATTGAGTAATTGTTGATATAAAAAGTCAAATTCAAACAACAACACTAGAATAATTCCAAAAAATTAAACCTGTTGAGTTAACTTCTTTCTTTAGATTTCAATTTGTAGATGTCATGGAAGCAATGTAAATACATCAAGAAAGTGATAAATGAGAAAAATGTAACTTCTAAGGAAAAAAGAAAGCTAACCTAACTATATCTAAAAACAGTCGACTACCTTCATTATTCAAGATGTCATTTAAATAGACAAAAAACAAAGTAAAAAGCTTTACAAAATACCCTTTTATTTTAGGTTGAAATAAAACGTAGCAATGTATTACAATGTAAAAATAATGCAAAATACATTGAAACATAAAATATCAAGTATATAATAATAGCTAAAATAATGTCAGTGCCTGAAAAACTGTACTTTGTAAATTATACATACTTATAAGCCTTTTAAGAGCAACTACTCCCAGATAAAAAGCCTAATAATAATGTATCTTTTTGCCAACTTCAAGAAACACATACTGCCTTAGAAGACTCATAGTTCCCAATAAAAAAACAAACTGTTAATATCATATGTGTGAAATCCACTTATGATAATCTAAAATTTGTTTATGCATAAATACTGAGGTTCCAAATTTAATAACATATGCACAGAAATGTGTCTGAAACATACCCATAGAAATTTATTTCTAAAGAAATTATTTATATGAGATATTCTAATATTACTCTGTATAAACACTGTATTAAAGAACAGTTACTAATTTAGAAGAAAGGAAAGATGTTTTATGTATTTCCATTGATTTACATTCTAACTGTAATTTAATATTTTCTATGGGATTTAAGCTATACATTACAATACATACTACATAGAGCCAATAATCCACCATTACTTTGTAGTATAACAAATCCTAAACACATAACAAGGATGGCAATTTTAAAAAGATATTCAAACTTACCCCATTTAATGGATATGTTTTCCATCCGAGCTCTCCCAGCACAGTTGTTGTATCAAGCAACACAACTGGAATTACATAAATAAAAAACTTGCATAAATATCTCAATTGATGAGAAAATATATCAGTCATTCAACTACCCTCACTATTATTCATTGCATTAGCTTTAATAATTCACATTACTTTAAAGTATTTGTATATACTAAATATTAATACAGGGGTGGGCAAAAGTAGGTTTATAGTAGGTTTATTTACTATACTTAAGAAAAAATATAGCAAATAAACTACAAGAATGTGTAAATAACCCTGGTTGGTGTGGCTCAGTGGATTCAGTGCTGGCCTGCAAATCAAGGGGTCGCTGGTTCGATTCCCAGCCAGGGCACATGCCTGGGTTGTGGGCCAGGTCTCCAGTAGGGGACACATGAGAGGCAACCACACATTGATGTTTCTCTCTCATTCTTTCTCCCTCTCTTTTCCTCTCTCAAAGTAAATAAATAAAATCTTTAAAAAGAAAAAAGAATGTTTAAATAATGAAGGCCTGCAATGTGAACACTTACAAAATTGTACCTAAGTGCACTGTGCCATTGTGCCATTCTGTTGAGTTAATAAAGCTATTGTAATCATTGTAACCTGCATGTCTTTTTCCATGTCAACTGTAAACCTACTTTTGCCAACCCCTATATATGATATATAATGATAAAATGCATCAGGCAGTTATAAGTTAATTTTAAACTATGTGTTTAACAATACTAAATGAAACATAACTGTATAACAAAGTTATTTTAATAGCTATCTTCTAAAATTGATAAAATAACCACCTTTGTTTCCCTGCCTTCCTTTTCATATATGGTCTGTTTACACCACATTAAAGAAAGAAAAAGTGCATCAAAGCAGGGTTCTCTGTTTTTTTTTCTGTGTAATTAAATGTACTTATATATTATTGGCAAACAACTCATGAATAAGTCTGGAATCTTTATAACATAGATTACATTGTTATTATATATGCCAGGTAGTATACTTACTACTGAAGGAGGCAAAAACAAAAATAAAAACAACACATCATTTTCTTGACCAAAAGTAACTCATCATCTGGTAGGAAAGGCAGACATGTAAACAAACAATTAGAACATATTCTGTTAAATTAAAAAATAAAAGACTATATAATAGCCTCTCAATTAAGTTAGGCTAAGGCTGGCAAGGCCTGTCTGGGAGGGTTTCACAAAGGGGTTGCTATTCGCGCAGAGACTTCATTAGATGTGACAAGAATCAAGTATTTGTTTTTCTTTTCGAATACCTTCTGCAAAGTGACGAAGCTATAACTCAGTTCTCAGTTGCTGGAGTGGGGACTAGGAGTGGGAGATATTTGGGGGGAAGTAGAAGGGTACAAATGAGGATGGAAAGCAACATAGATCAATTCTGGAAGGATATTTGTGGTGTTTACAGCAGGTAATGCTTAGTTCCCACGATTTAGCAGATCTTTATTTTTAAGTCTTACTACTTCCAAGTCCCCCAGATACCAGTAAGGCCACGGAGCACACTTTGAGAAACAATGTTTTGTTAGCTTTATCTAGTTGAGAAAGTGTGTTTTTTTAAAATTTGTAGTTTAAAATATGCCTTTAGAAGTATGTTACTTGGCATCTGCTGCTCAGTATATACTGTAAGAAATCTGTAAGTTTTCCTATTCGAATCACTGTGATACATTCGACTGATTTTTAAATATAAAACTATGTTTAAATTTCTAGGATAAGTACTAATCATTAACAATATTCTTTCAGTACTGTTAAAATCTATTCACTAAACATTTATAACTGAGCTACAATTCCTTAATTAATTTTTATTTTTATTGTGGAAAATTCTCAAACACACATTAACATGTATAGAAAATATTACATTGGACCCACATGTACTCACCACTCAGTTTTAATAATTACCAAAATATGGAAAATTTTATTTCATGCTATCTATTCTACTACTGTAAGATTTATTTGAATAAAATTACAGTTATCATATCATTTCATATGTAAAAATTGCAGTATATATTTCTTCCATATTTATTTTGCTATGACTACAATATCTCAATCCATTGTTATAAATAGTAATCCTTAATGTCATCAAATATCTAGTCAGTATTTAATATTTCTATTGTTTCAATTTCATTTAACAGGAAGTCAGTATCTAATAAATACTATATATTACAGTGAGTGGATATTCCTTTTTGGTTTTAGTTAATAGCTTTTCTTATTATCTTTTGTCAGCTTTACTGAGGCATGATGTACTTAGAGTTCACCCATTTTAAATGTATATTTTTCTATGAATTGTGACAAACCCCCATATCCATGTAACCAACTCCACAATCAAGCTATAGGATATTTCCATCACCCTTAAAATTTCCCTTGTGATCCTTTATAGTGAATCCCTTCTCCATCAGCCCATGGCAACCACTCATCTAATTTCTGTCCCAATGGTCTGCCTTTCCCAAAATGTCATATGAATGAAATCACTTTGAGCTGAGGTGCTTTCACATTAGCATAATGTGTTTGAGATTCATCTATGTTGTTGTATGCATCAATAGTAAGTTCCTTTTTATTGCTGAAAAGTATTTCATTGTACAGAACTCCCTAGTTGATAGACATGTAGGCTATTTTCAATTGGGGCATTATAAATAGCACTATAACATTTCATTTACAGAATCTGATAGGAACCTATGTTTTCATATCTCCGTAAGTAGAAATTACAGGGTTATACAAGGAATGCTTACATTTTTTCCTAAGCATATCATTGAAAAGTGTTTCCACATTCCCTGTGTTTTCTTTAAATTAATAGATATATTAGTGGCTTGATCTGATTCAGGTTCCATTTCTTTTTATATTTCATAAGATTACTTCATTGGTGGCATTTAATAGTTCTTGTACCATAAAACAGAGAAGATATTAATGTCCACTTGGATCATGTAAAATGGACTGGGGAACCAGCATGCATGCATAGGCTTCAACTTGCCAAAAATAATTTGATCAGCCCTGGCTGGTATAGCTCAGTGGATTGAGTGTGGACTGTGAAGCAAAGGGTCACCGGTTCAATTCCCAGTCAGGGCACATGCCTAGGTTGCAGGCCAGGTCCCCAGTGGGGGGCATGTGAGAGGCAACCACTTACTGATGTTTCTCTCCCTCTCTTTCTCCTTTCCTTCCCCTTTCTCTAAAAATAAATGGATAAATTATTTAAAAAATAATTTGACCATATACAAGGTTTATGACTGTAAGGGATTGAAATATTTCAAATACACTTAAATGCATGCATTCATAATGATCAAATATACCAACTGATAACTTTTGCAGCATACTTGGAAGCCATTGTTTTAAAAACTGGTAAACAATCTGAAAAGAATTAAAAATATTATTTTTCTTTTTCTATATGAACTTCTTTTAAATATGGAAATAGTTAATAAAAGGACACTTCTGATATTGAAATATTTCAGGTAATAAATGAAGAAGGAAAGACCAGATTAGCCTACACCATTTTCTATTCCTTATAAATTAATATATCTAGACTGCTAACCTCCGTTACATAATGATAACAGCAGACATAAGGGGCTAAAACGTTTTAAAGGCTTTCTTTATAGATTCATATAGTTCATATCAACAAATAATGCTAAAAAGCTTGAAAGTAACAGACAGTACAATAAGGGTGATTTATAAACATATATCATATATTCATACAGATGTACACATTTTAGTCTATCCAGAAAAAGTTCAGCTAGTGTTACTATAATGAGAACAATTTGCATGATATCCACATAACCTGGCAGCCAAGAAGAGTGAACTGGAATGTATATGTGTAAACAGTGATGACTTCACTGTACTAGTCAGTGGTGGTGGTAGATGCCATTGAGTAGCATGTATACTGTGAAAATGACTTAGCAGGTAGAACAATGAATCAGCATCAAATTTGGCATTAAGCTTGAACATTTTTCATGGAAAATATTGGGATGATTCAGAAGGATTTCAGGGATGATGCAATTAGGGCACCACAATTAAAGTGTGGCACAAATGCTTCAAAGATGGTTGAGAATTGTTGAAAGTGATCTACATTCTGGAAGGCCCCAAAAAAGCAGAACACCTGAAAATGTTGAATGCATATGGGCTGCAATAACAAAGATTGGTGACTGACAGTGTGAGAACTAGAAACTAATACGGGGATTCAGAAAACTAATGTGTCTGAGATTGTGGTGCAGGATCTTGGCATGAAATATGTTGTGGCAAAATACATTCTGCAGCTTCTGCTGTCAGAGCAGAATGAACATCATGCTGTAGTTTCTAATAATGCTGGTAGAACTGTGTGACGTCCCCAGGTGCTTACTTTGAAGGGCACTGAGGCATTATCGACCATTGTTTCCTGTATCTTGTATCTTCTTCAAGAAATGTCTCTATTGTTCATATTACATGGTTGGATACTTTCTAGACAAATTTTGTACACACAAATAGAAAAGTATACAAAGACATACACAAACACGCAAGATTATATTTTCTGGCATTTGTGTTCATTCACTGTTATCAGTCTGAAATATTAGAGAAAAAAGCTGAAGATATCATAATAAACATTCAAAACTGTAAGCTTATCTAATTATCACATGAGTAAATACCAAATGGTATTTACTATTGAAAAGAAATAAGAGGAATGTAACACCATTATCTACTTTGGGGGGCTCAATAGCTTAATGTTACTCATCTAGCACATTTATGTGTTTGAAATAAATCATTATTTCCATAGCCCATTGGTAAAATAATGATACTAATTAATAATCAATATAGGAAGAACCTTTTATATTTTTTCTTCAATAATATCCACATTATCCTATATAATTTTTTAATACTCACAGATGAGAAGATGAGAGAACTAAGTCTAAGGAGGTTAACTTTTTCCCTAGAGATTGCTATGTAATAGATTTGATGGGGAATATTTGTAATAGTGGCAACAATAAATTTTAAAAAATAATAAAACTTAAACCTTTTTGTAAAGTGTTGTTTTCTTCCTACCTTTTCAAGTTTGAATATAAAACTTTGTTATTTGTTTT